GACAGAAAGGATGAAGGGGAAAGAAGAGGAAACTCCTGGGTTTGCCAAGCCTGAACCAGTAAAGTTGAGGCTCTTTCTTTGCCCTCCTTTCTTACTCTTCCACAAAAAGCATATCGTTTTAAGAGCTGGGGCTGTAGCTCAGTGGCACAGTGCTTGTCTTATATGCACGAGGGCCCAAACTCAAGCCCCGCACCACAGAAATAAAGGGCTTAAGAGCAGCTTTTAAACATTTCCACTCTCTGAGCAAACTGTGACACGAGATCATATGTGTGAAATTTTCAAGCTGTATAAAATAATCGAGAATTATAAAACATTTACGGAACACTTACTATGTCCTTGCGACAGTTCCTGCCCCTGGGAGGCTTACAAAGGGGCTGGAAGGTAAGAGTAACACATGGGTGTCAGTTTTAGTCGGAGCAAAGTGGTTGTGGAAAGCTCTGCATCTGGGGACCCCAGCATGACCCAGAGGAGCTACTGAGAAAACTACACACAATAGTGACATTTGTGAAAACACAGGTTTATCTTATTTTCCTCACCTGTAAAAGAGGGGCACCTTACCTCACAGTGATGTGAGCTTTAAAAGGATTAATATGTCTTAAAACCTCTTTGCCTGGTGTTGGGCACATAGTACTCAATACAATTTACTTCTTCCTAATGTTGCTAAAGACAGAAAACTTCCTTTGAACTTCTAGGAGTCAGTTACTAAGAACTCCAGGCACTGGATTAGTCAAGCTCTGTTGCTTTGCCCTCTGTGCTGTACCGTTTTCACTGGAAAGAAGTTTGCATTCACCCAGGCTGGGCCTGTCTTTCACCTCCTCCTGGAGCCCACAGCAGCCCTTAGCCTCTCATCCCCTAAATTATTCAGAGCTATGTACACACCCCATGTTCGCTTCCTTTTTTCAGGTTCACTCTTCAACTCGCTGCATTCCAGCTTTTTCTCCCACGACTCAGCTAGAAAGGGTCTTGGTAAGGCTCTGTGTTAGGCGGATCTGGTGAGCACAGTGCTATCCCTGTGAGATATGTCTTGCCACACCCCATGGGTCCCTTTAGGGCCTCATCGTCTCTTGGCAACTTTCCAGATGCGGGTTCTCTCTTCCTTCTGAATGGTTCTGTTTCTCAGCCATTCTACTTTCTTCTCTGTCCTCCCTCCCTCCCTTTCTTCCCAGAGCTGTATCATCTCAGGTTGGAGTACAAATTTTTTCTTTCTTCTGCCTGTCTTTTAAATGGCTGGGGTGGAGCTGGAGGGTTGTTTACCACGAGCTAGTGCTTTGTCTCCCACTCCTCCCTGCCACTCCCCATCCCCAAGGCCACAAATATCATCTGCGTCTTAAATACTCTCCTGCGGACGTCCCCACTCCCTGAAGAGGACCAGACTCACGTTCGCTGCCCGTGTGATGTCTTCGTTCAGCAATCTCCCTGGCATCTCACAGTTAACACTTACCAAACGGAGCTCACAGTTCCGCCTCCTGTCTTCCCCAGTACCCCCTTTCTCATGTTCATTCACCCAGTTGCTCATGCCAGATCTTGAGTTGACCTTGATTTTCCCTCTTTCTCCTCTTCGCTTTTATCTGAAATCTATCAGCAAGGCCCATGAACTCTGTGTCCAAGGTATAGCTGGAGTTCACTCGCTTCTTTTCTACCATCCAAAAGCAAGCTCCTCCTAAGTGATGTGTCCTGGGTGGCTGTCTTGGCATCAGTATTAATTATGGTCTTTATGAGCATATTGCCTTCTATGTAGACCATAGTTTTACCTCTCAAGGCCCAGCCAAGGCTCAAGTCTGCCCTAAACTGCCTTTTAGTTATCCAGGCAGCATTCTTTGTACCAACATTTGTGGCCAACCAGCCCTGTGCTGACCGCCATCAGCCTCACAGCGCCCTGTGGCTTGGGATATACAGTCCGGACATTTGACCATATACTGGCTTCTGGGGCTCTGCTGACTCCCATAGCAATGAGCCCCTTTTCGTTCACCTGTACTACAGCATCTTCACCCTGGGATGTTTGCCTCCTGCTCACTGCAAGTTATCCCAGCCAAGGGCTCCTCTTTGTTTAAAGCGGTCTCTGGCCTCTCCCCAGCAGAGCTGACCATCTCTGCCTGTGCATCCTGTGGAGTCCTTGCACTGTGCCTCTGCCAGCAAATATTATGCCACCAAGCCTTTATTTACCTTTCCATACCTTAACTCATTCCACTTCTCTCAGAAGGTGCTTCTCTCAGCCCCACTGTACACACACGGAGACGGAGGCTTGTAGAAGCCCTTTGCACAAGGTCACACAGAGAGGAAGTTGCAGAGCCAGGATGGGAACCAGGCAGTGTGGTTTCCCAGGGGTTGTGGCTCTGGGCTACAGAGGGGAGAGATCTCAAGACCAAGAAACCATGAAGAGACAGCTGTGCCAGCTTCTGAGAGCCCCTGGTCTGGGTGGAGAATTCCAGCTCTGCCATGAGGGTGGAGGACAATAGGCAAGCAGCTTACACATGCAAAGCCTTCATCTTCTCTTTTGTCTGATGGGTGAACTGTCACTAATTCACGGGGCAGTTAGAAGAAATAAATGAAAAAGCACAGGCAGAGTGCCTGATGCATAGCAGATACCCAGGAAACATGGGTTTCTTCTTCCATCCTTGGTGTCGCTGGCTTTAGGCTGGGCCTCGTCATTCTTTCCGGACCTTCTACTCGGCCCTGGGAAATGAAAGAAGAGGAGCAACTCGCGGTGGAGCGAGGAAATGGCCCAGAGTGACAAAAATGGATGACAAGAACACCATGCCTGATAAAGGAATGTTCTGTACCAGCTCAGAGCTGCACGGCTCTGCATGGTTGGTCTAGAGGTGTGGTACTTCACCGGACGCTGAGAACTGAGAGCAGCTCTAGGGTGCTGCAGCAGGAGCTGGCCCCTAAGGAAAAACGAGCCTCAGAGAAGGGAACAGCCTGTCAGAGTCACACAGATACTCAGGGTAAGAGTGGAACCAGGAGCAGGGCTGCCTTTTTTTTTTTTCTTTCTTCCTTTCTCTCTCCTTGTTCCTCTTTCCTTTCTCTCTCCCACCCTGGAACATGTTAGACAAGCAACTCTACTACAGCACTGCACCCCCACCTCAAGAGATTTTCAGGAATCTTCGGGCCCACAAGTCTCCTTTTGTTCCTTCATCCTCTGCTGCAATGGCGACACACAATTCTACTCTCCTTGGAAATAGGTTTATTCCAAGTCTTGGGCTCAGAACGGCTTAGGACTATTTTACAAAATAACTGAACCCACTTAGGAGGAAATATCCAAGGGAATGTGTCCAGGAGTCTTCCTGGGAACTGAGGACACCAAGATTAATTCCAAGTACTGGTGTCAAAGATTTGCATTTGGAGATGAGCTTTACACAGAGAACAGGCACCAGCCATTGTCTTGGTGAAAGCGAAGGTCTGAGGCTAATAGATTTGTGCAGTGAGGCTTTGGGCTTTTCAGAATCCTCCGGAGAGTAGGTGGGGGTGCTCTGCTGAGGCCTACGAAACAGTCTGAAACTGAAACGTCAGTCTAGGAAACACCGTCCAGGAGGAAGTTACTCAGTTTGAAGTAAGTCGGGGAGTGGGGGCGCTTCACACGCGGTCCTTCCCTGGAGACGGCCGACTTGGTGTGTGCAGATCGGGTTCTGTTTAGGCAGCGGGATAGACATTGGTGGCTCCAGATTCCGAGTGCCTTCGTGGCCTTGAGGGGTGCGACTGCGCGCGTGGGCGATCGTGCGTGCGGGGAGCTGGGAGGCGCGTGAGTGTAGCCGCCAGTGGGTGTGTCTGTGGCGCCCAGCCTGGGGCTGCGCCCAGAACGGCCGACTTGGTGTGTGCAGATCGGGTTCTGTTTAGGCAGCGGGATAGACATTGGTGGCTCCAGATTCCGAGTGCCTTCGTGGCCTTGAGGGGTGCGACTGCGCGCGTGGGCGATCGTGCGTGCGGGGAGCTGGGAGGCGCGTGAGTGTAGCCGCCAGTGGGTGTGTCTGTGGCGCCCAGCCTGGGGCTGCGCCCAGAACCCCAGCCTGCGGCTCCC